GCTTCTGTGCCTTAGAGGAACGTGGGTGGCTTGCCTTCACAATTTGGCCAAACTGTGAATAAATTCATATTTCCATTTTATGGACTTTTCCTTTGGATAGCAGGTATGCAAGCAAATCCAGACAGTAGCAGCACAGATTCAGGCCTCTGGCCAGGTGCTTCCAGAATCTGGTGATCACAAGGGATCAGGAGGCCTGTCTAGCTTAAAGAAAGAGCTGTCTCCACCTAGAAGCCACCCTTTTCTACTGGTGTGCTAGCCTCTCCTTCCCAGGAAGGGCTGGGTCTCTTCCTGCAGTCCAGCTTCCTGACCACAAACTCCTCAGTCACTTCCCTCCTGTGATCAGAAGCCCACTGGAAAAAAAGTCTTTGACCTCCTGTTTGGTGATTTTGCCAAAGCTCAATTCCAGACTGTATGCCAGCTGAAATGTGGACATCCAGTCTTGGAGGCACTGCTGGTGCTCCAAGGCGGTCTAATTTCCATCAACCAAGGTGCACATGTCAGTGTTCCTGATCACAATGGCAGGACTTTGGTCCAGTTCATCTGAAGATTTACCTTTCTCATCCACACGGACCTTGCTGCTCCCCAAGAGTGGCTGTGAGGGATTCTACCACCTTGGCTGTCATCTTCCCCTCTTCCCACCAGACAATCATTTTATCCAGGGGCCACTGAAGGGAAAGTTTTTATTTATCTTGCCTCAGAGTTGCAAAAGTGCAAGACTGCTTTGAGAAGAAAGCCAAAAAGCACCATGTTCCAGAATGGCAGGGGCCTAGAAAATCTGTTCCTCAGAATTGGATTCAGAGTGCTCAGAAATCCAGGTACTCAGTCTGTAAAGCCAGGAGAGAGGGAAGCCTAGCTACTGTTCCAGCTGGCAGCAGACCCTGGTATTATCCATGTGGTTCTGGTTTTAGATGCATGCAGAATGCAAGAGTTAGGGGGTTAAGAAGGCTTCCACACAGATTTCAGAAGTCCTGGAAGGCCAGGCAGTTTGCCACTGAGAGGACAGTGCATGAAGCTGTGAGGGTGAAGCCAAAGGTGCAGTGGAGATCCCAGAAGTTTAGATAAACAAGGAACATGGCTCATGTGAGGAAAACCACAAGGAGAGAGCAGGTCAGGACCAAGAGAGAAGAAATGGGAGCCAGAACCACTGGAAGTGCCTTAGGTGCAGAGCTACCCAGGCTCTTTGGAGTTCACAGCCTGCTACAGATTGCCTCAGATGCTGCAAGTGGAACTACAGAACTTCATGTCTGTCCTGCTGGATTTTGGATTTCCTTTGATTCCATTCCTTTCTATTCCCCTATTTGTAACTTTTCTATTGGAAATGTCTATTTTGGGCCATTGAATTTTGGAAGTGTTTGACTTTCTTTTCATTTGTACAAGGGCTCACAGCTAAGCATTTGCCTTAAATCTCAGAGGAGCCTTTTGACTTCAACTTTTCAGCAACGCTGAAGCTGTTAGGACTCTGGCAATTCTTGGACATGGACTAAATGTCTTTTTGCATAAAGGGATGTGAATGAGTCTTTGGGACCCAGGAGAAGAATGGTATGGGTTGTATGTACATGTCTTCACAAAGCCTCACTCAGTCATAGGGTTTTTTCAGAGGGCTGAATCCAGAGTGTGTGAGGGATTTGTGGTGCAATGCTGGGATCAAGCATGCTGGGATTAAGGGTGAGTGATTGCTTGATCAGTGCACTGACTGCATTGGCACCATCTAATCCTGGGACACTGGATACGATGTAAAGGACAGGAAGAGGCTTGTGTCTTTCTCCCTGGTTGCTTTTGCTGTCTTCCACTGTCACCAAGGGTTGCCGCTGTGCCTTGGAGCCAGAGGAGTATGGCCTGAAACCTCTATGAGCTGTGAGCTAAATAAACCTTTTCCCTTTTAACTTTGAGTGTCCGGTCTTTTGTCTCAGCAAGTAGAAGAAAGTAACTGAGAGAGTTGCAAAATGCTTTTCTTGTATCTCTGTGCTCTCCTGTCCTTGAGTTACAAATAAAGAGCCAGAGAGGTCTCAGTTGCTTGCTGTTTCCCTGAGGCTCTCTATTGCCCAAGAAGTAGCCCCTCCTGGTTCTTGGTGACTGAACATCATCTCAGCTCTGTGTAATCTTCTTTATCCTCTGCGCATTCAGGGTCACACACTGCCCCACCTACCTCGCTTCCAGGGAACTCATGCAGAAAACGTCTGTAAGGCAATAAGCCTGTAAACTGGGTTCTGGGCCTTTGCCTGTCACTGATTCTGGGGCCATCGTTTTGCCTGTGAGTCGGCTCCCTCCTCCAGTCCCCGTGCTCATAAAGGCACACTCTTAAAGGGGCAGCATAGCTCAGCTTCAGTGCTTTGAGTAACATAGCCAGCCAGATTGGTAAACTTGAGAGACAGTAGGAATACACATCCTAGATCAGGCATCTTGAGAACTCCTACAAACCCACAATAACCCCAACCCTGATGATTCATTCACCTGTCTCTTTTGTGGGCCCACACTCTCCTCCGAGTAGGTACTTTTACATATTGCCCCAAACGTCTCTTATACCCCTCTTATACGTGTCTTAAAAATTATTTTTCCTTCATGGAAATCACCAAGCTAGAACCTACCCTGTTGCTGGAATGAGTTGAGATTCCCCGTGTGCACTTTTCAGAACCTCCTCAGACTATATTGAGTGACAATACCAGCAGAGGTACAATTTAACATTAAGAATTGCTTAGGAGTATGAAAAAAGGAATCAGATCAATACTTTAACCTTTAAGAGATGGTAAATAGCAAATCTACTTTAAAACTGCACAATCTTTGTATGCATATATGTTTGTGTACCCATGTGTCTTACATGTTATTTTTATATGTGTATTTACATTGCACCAAGATAATATACATTTAAATGAGCATAATTCAAAAAACAAACACAAATTTCTTTTTACTTGCTAGACTTCCATAAATCTGTTAAATTAGATTTGTGAGAGAAAAAGAAAGGGTTGCTCTCTGCTAGCATATATTTTCCCTGCATTACTAAGCAATCAGAAGTGTATTTTGATGTTTGAAGCATGACATCTATTGTTGCTATGCCTTAAGTAAAACAGTTTTCAGATTCCTTCCTCCAGTGAAAATAATATTTCACAATGTTTATTTTTATTAGTACACGCTTACAATGCACAATGATTGTATACCTCATCAGAGGGGATGCAGAAACCTAAAACATTTTCAATCTTTTCTCATCCTCTTCCCCTCCCCTCTTCCCTTCGTTCATCTCTTGGTCTCCTTCTCTTTTGTAAAAGATCTATCTCCCTGTTTCCTACAATCTATCTTTCATATTTCTCTTTATTATATTTTGGGTTTCTCATATAAAGAAACCATGTGCTATTTAAACTTGCGTGTCTGGTTTATTTCACTTACCATAATGCTCTCAAGGGAAAAGAGATAACCTAAGATACGGACAATACGCATCTAATGTCACAAATCTTGTGGGTATTCTACGAGTGACTGTTTGAAAGAAGTTGTTTAAGTATAAAGAAAATTAAAGGTTATGAATATAGGTGGTACAAGTAAAACACTTCAGTAGTTTGAAATGATGTTAAAAGTCCCAAAACATTTTAAAGTATAAATTCAAGTACTTTTAGCTTCTTCAAATCTACCAGAACTTTTTTTGGAGGCAGTGTCTTACTATGTAGTTCAGACTGGCCTGGACTTACTACACAGCCCAGGCTGGCCTCGAAATCATGGCAATCCTCTGGTCTCAGCCTCCCAAGTGCTGAAATTACAGGCATGGGCCAGCACACCCAGCTTCAGTTTCTTAAATATGTTTCATACATTATTGATTTATGGAAAGAATTTTTGCTGTGCTATGAAGGAATCTGCGATCCTTCTCATTTAGTAAGTTTAAGAGTAGCTATTCTAGAGGGAAAATATGTTTCTAGAGATGAAGACTTTAACCAACTACAATGTCATCTAACAGAAGCCAATAATTTAGAAAAATCTCTTTAAAGAATAAAGTTTAAGATATGTTGTATTGTTCATCATTTCAAGATATCACAAAATGAAGACCTCCCTGTTTCCTATAACCTATCTTTTATTTTACTCTTCATTTTTATTTTGGGTTTCCCATATTAAAAGAAACTACATGATATTAATCTTGTGTGCATGGTGTTGTCTTAGTTACTCTTCTCTCATTGCTGAGACAAAATACACTACACACAAAATTAAAGGATGAAAGGTGTATTTAGGTCAGACAGTTTGTAAAGGTTTCAGTCCATAATCAGCTAGTACCAAGGCAGAGTGATATGGCAGAGGGGCAACCATTCATGGCAGTGGAAGATACCAAAAGCAACAAGAGCAAAAAGGGAAGATTAAGCCTCTTTCCCTTCCCTTATATTGTATGCAGGCTACCTGGCCGCGGGTGGGTGTAGCACTCACATCCCCAATCCAAGCACTAGACAAGGAAATAATCATAAACTCTAGATTCAGCTACCTCAGAAAATCCTGTTCCCCATGACTGCGTGAGGCTTTCAGGGGGATATTCAGGTACAAACCATAACAGGTTTATTTCACTTACCATTAATGTCTCAAGGGAAAATAAACAGCCTAAAATATTGACTATGTGTATCTCATGTCTCATGTTTGGTGGGTAAGCTACAACTAATGGCCAGAAATAAGTTGTGAAAGTATAATAAGAGAATACTTTATAAATGCATGTGATACAAATACAGAAATACATTGCTTAAAACTAAGTGAAAATATCAAAACACTTTCAAGTACTCTTAGCTTCTTAAAATCTATCAGAACATATTTGGGTCTATTAAATGTGTTTCATAGATTGTTGCTTTATGAAAACTCTTTGTGATGAACTATCAAGACATGTCTAGAAAAAGAGAAAGAAAAAATGAAATATCTGATCCTTCAATAAGTTTAAGAGCTGCTATTCTGGAGGAACAATATTTTTCTAGAAATGACTTTATTCAACTGCACTGTCATTTATTATAAGCCAATAATTGAAAAAAACAACCATTAAACAATACATCTTAAAATGAATAAGGTCATAGTGTTTATTATTTCAAGATCACGTAAAATGAATAATTAGGATAAGGGCAACTCATTTTTTCCATAGTGAGATTAAACCCAGGGCCTTCACCCTGAGCTATGTCAACAGCCTTTTAGCTAACACTGTGAGACCTTTTGGGAGAAGGTTCACAAGAAAAGGAAATCAGAGAAGGGGTTCACAGGTGAGGCAGTCAGTCAGGGCAGCGAAGGCTCATGTGTCACTATGGGGACCATCCTGACCCAACCACAGGGATCTTGACATGTAACGAATGTGATTCCTCCTGAGTAACCCTTACCTCTTTACCCTCCACAATTTTCCAGCATACCATAGCTACACATAACCGTTAGAGTGGCCTGTGAGACTTTACTCTCAGATCGTAGTAATATCGGTGCCAGAATGTATCTTCTCACGTGTGTGTTGTTTGGCTGAGGTCAGACAAGGTGTATTCGGTCTTGGGTGAAGTTACTTCTGTCCTGACTATTGTGTCAGCACCTCCCTCTGCCCCAAGTAGCGGAATGCACTGGGCTTGCTGCTGCCCTGGACCAGGATTCTGTCTCTTGGTTCCCAATAAAGACTAGACTCTGTACTCCTGGATGTTTTTTTCTTTGGCCTCATGGCAGAATAGAATACAGGAAGGAGAGACACATCTGAGATATCCCTTGTCCAGCAATCCCTTCCCCAAGGGATGAGGACAGTGAGATTCAGAGAGGCAGATTCTCTTCAGGCCTCCCTGGTTTTTCTCCACACACTGCCAGCTTCCTGGTGTGTTCCTCAACTCTGCTGAGCTGGCCAGGTGTGACGAGCTCCACCAACTCTACTGTCACCACACCCCATATGCATCACCATCACCAGCACCATGATCACAGTAGCACCCCCAACAACATCGCAAATATCAACACCATCACCATCACCATCATCATCACGGTCATCAGCAACATAATCATCATAAACTCACTGCCTGACTGAGATAAGCATTTATTGACACTGGAAAGAAAGAAACACAAGCCAGGAAGGGTAGATTGTGGTGTTGCTGGGTGTCAGATTGTGCAAAAGGTGGGAAGCAGAGTCCTGTTGCCTATCCCATATCCAAACAGTTCTAACTGTGCCACTCCCAACTTCTGCTCTTCTGTTTGCCTGAAATTCCCACTGCTTCTTTCTTCAGCTGCTTCTATCCAGGTCACCAGGGAATCTTTATGACAACAAGAACTCTCTCCTCTTATTTCCCACCCTCTTTGGTCACTGCTTCTCCCTTATGTCAGACCCCAGGGCCCTGCCTTCTCTTTAATTCACTTCATCTGCGTTAGCCCCTCCCTGCTTGGGCTCAGCCACAGAAATGCACAGTTCCTGAACACCCAGTTGCATAGACTTGATCTCACCCTCTTTTCCCCTCTGCAGCACTTCCTGGCTTTGTGCATGTGCTTGAAATGCACCTGAGCCCTGAGCTCTGTGCTGCTTGGGGCCTCTGTCACTTAGTCAGGTCCAACTGCAAACGCTCATGGATCTGGATGAGCTCCTCCAGCTTCCTCTCCAGATGCTGAGCCTGCTGCCTCATCTCTGCAGCTGATTCTGTCTTTGCCCCCTCGTTCAAATGCAGCGAGTCTTGCACAATGTTGTACACATCCCACAGAAAGAAGACACCACTCACTGCTCCACCCCTGATCCTGGCACTTTTGGTCATTGTCATAACAGTGCCTCCAAGGCTTTTCTGTACCTGCTCAACACTTTTGACTGAGAGTTTCCCAGTTCTCATGAGGCGTTTGGCATTAGCTAGTAATGCAGGGTTGGACCTGGCCTCCTTAATGGCATGGATGATTTTATCAGTGCCTTTGATGGCTTTCTTACACTGCTTGGCTACAAAACCAACTCTGACCCCTTCCTTAACCACAGCTTGTAGAATGTCCTTCTGTGCGTCCATGCTGGTTGACAGCACATGGCTGGCTTCAGCTTGGGCTGACCACTTGTTTCCTTCATCCACAATGGAGGCAGTAACACCAGTCACAGCAGCGGCTGCTCCCAGTCCCATCCCAGCCGCCGACAGCAGCAGACTGCCACCTGCTGTGACAGGTGCCAGAAGAAAGCCGAGGATGGTGAAGATGCCAGAGAGAGCACCACCAGAACCGGCCACCACGTTGGTGATGGTGCAGTCTTTGTGCACCTTGTCAACCTTCTCTGCGAGGGCATAGAGCTTGGCTATGCTCTCCTCCAGCTCCTTTTTCATGAGAGAAAATTCGTTCAAGAACCTCTTCCTGGCCTGAAGGAGCTTCTCAATCAGAGCCTCACACACAGTATCTGCCTCCTCCCTGGAACAGTAAAGGTCAGCGGTTAAGAAAGGCAGTTTCTCTGATTGGCAAATGAGCTCTGTAAGATCTATCCTGCATACATGGCAGAGGTTCGTTATAGGCAAATGAAAAAGAATTACACAGATGCACAGAAATTTTCTTTTGGATACCATTGTTTCATAAAGGGGCCCATGACTGTACATCATTTTCAGATGCTCTTTAATGGTGTGTATTTGATAAAGCACCATCTCATGCAAGGTGAATGCTGTGATGAGGAAAGTATTTTTGCGGCAGAAACTCTGTAGAGGAACACAGAGAATTGGAACAATAGGTGGGAGAGCCTTAGTTCAGAGAATCTTAATGCATAGTGAGCAGTTAATTTTAATCAGAGGAAAGCCTGCACTTTGCCTTCAGCTACTAGGTTGTGATCTGTAGGGCCCTCGTATTCCTGACTGCTGGAGTGTCCATGTTTGCCTGGGGACAACAGTGCCTGAGCTGTCCCACTCCAAAAACATAAATTGGAAAAAACCCAAACTCTGGACTCTTTGAGCACTGACATGGACATGATGCTACAAGTAGAAAGTTCCATGCCTGACCCATGAGATGGGTCACAGTCAAAGCACAATCATGCTGAAAAAAATCCTATGAAATTACATACATGCTATGCACACAGGTGTAGAGAAAATAAACGAGCTCCATGTTTTGTTTGGAGTGACATTCACAAGCTATCTCTTAATGTATCAGCAAATGTTTCAAAATCAGGGAACAGCTATCATGGAAAACACTCCTTGTCCCAGGGATTTCCTATACTGGATGCCCATCTCACAATATGATGGATGACAGGGCTTTGGGGATCATTTCTGACTTCCAGAGAAACTGCAGACTAAAAGGATTGACCTCCAGGAGCAGATGGAACCTCCAAGTCAGCCCTAAAGTCTGGAGAACCAAGCAGGACTAAAACATTATTAGGACCCTCTGACCCTCTTTTCCAGTGGGCTTTGACCTTGGCTTTCCAGTGCATCCAGCGCCTGCTCAGCCACGCGTCAGGGTGATGTTTCCCTCACAGGCTGAGCCTGGCAGCCTGGCATCCCCTTGTGAATGTCGCCCATCACATTGGGAGCGCACTGTGTCCTGTGGAAAATCCAAGCTTCATACTCAACACCTGCCAGATTCTGGCCTCTGGAACAGTTTCTATGACAAGTTATACCCTGGGCTTCTCCCGTGATACACTGTAAGTGTGTGATAAACATCTGTAGCAATTCTCCCAGTCCCACTCGTGAACTGTCACATCCGCATGAGGTTTTGGGGAGTTCTCAGATTTTCAGTGGGTTTCAAAGATAAGGCTGGTCTGGGAGACTGTGCCTTCGGACTTTGCACTGTGGTTCACTCTGAGTGATAAGATATAAAAAGTAAACCCTCTGAGGCCAAAGAGATCAAAAGCATCATTTGGCCTCCCACCTGCTCTATTTCAATATCTGCTGCTCTTTGGACTTTGAGCTGAAGATCGACGGATCCAGCTGCCGCCAGAACTAATGGGAAGGGGGAGACCTTGCTTTACGTTGGCTGCATCCTCTCTACCTACCCTGCAGCTCACATGCACACCCGACCCTAAGACCAGGGCCTTTCTGGTGATGTCATGACCCGAAATGACACCTTAGCCAGTGACATTTTTCATGAGTTTATGCAAAGGTCCTTTGCAGTGAATTGGGAGACCTTGAGACCCATCTCTGCATCTACAGCATCAGATCCCTCAAACTGCACAGGATAATAGAGAAAGTCCCCTCTGTGCTGTGGACTGTCAGTGTCCTCAGACTGACAAACTATACAAGCAGGCTGTTAACCATGCTACCTCAGAGTCTGTCACTAAACCACTGCCTTTCCAATGGTCAGGGCTACTCTGTCTGAATAGAAGAGAGTCCCAAACGAGAGCAGAGAACTCCCTGGTGACCAGCAGCTCTTGAAGGAGACAACCCCGCACCACCACAGTCCTCTGAGCTATCTGGGATGGGTCCCAACAAGGGTAGGAAAAAAGCCCTCACCAATTGCATCCTCTGCTGGGCCAGGACTCCCCATGCTTGGAGCCTCCAGCACCCGCTTTCTCTCACTCTGTCCAGCCTGGCAGCCCCAGGCTTCTTATTACTGCTCCATCCCAGACCCCGTCTGCTCCGTCCTGGGCCCTGGCTCTGACCCTGTCACAGGTTGCTGTGGGCCTCTGGCAAGCTGTCTTCCCCCTCTGACTCCCAGCTCACTACAGTCTTATCAGATTGGATTGCTACTCCCACTGAACACACCACAATCCTGGTCTCCCAGGCCTCAGTCTGCAGCCCTGCTGCTGATGGTCAGCCAGGGTCCACCCAGCTCTGTCCTACTCCACGGTGGGCTCTCTGCATCCTGGCCTAGCATGGTAGTACGCAACAGCCCTCCCAACACTTAGGAGGCTGAAGCAGGAGGATGGCAGTTTCAAAGCCAACATAGTAAATATAGGAGTTCAAGGGTAGCCTGGAGTACACAGGACAAGTGTGTTTTCCATAAATACCAGAAGCAAGTGTCCTGTTGTGTTGGTACAATTCCTCAGATGCAAACTAAGTAGCTTCAGCCAGAATACCGGAAACACACTGCTGAGGTCTGCATTTATGTGACTTTCTCAAGCAAGTCCTTCTTAGCTCCCATCTGCAAGAAGCAGGCTCGGTCCTGCTTTCTCCTTCCTGCCCTGTCAGAGTTACCTTCGCTTGAGCCCCTGCTGTGTGCCAGACACATGCTAAGCACTTCCATGCCTTATCCTACTTTTCTTACAAACTCGATGAATGAAGAAACTAAGACAGAACATGGTGAGGGGAGCAGCAGAGCCCTTATAACATGCAGTTGGCAGCAGGGAGATGCCCAGTATGGGTGCCCTCTCCCTTTACCCTGAGGCCATTCACTGCCAGGGAATGACATGGAGATCATGTCTCCCAGGGACTGTGTGGAGGGGCACCCTGAACGCCAAGTGCAGGACCAGCCTGGAGGAGGTGTGTCTGTCCCTGACAGCAGCTGTATCTGGGAAGAATTGCTGGGGCGCCCCATACAGGTGACCTGGTCAAATCAGTCTTCTCCATCAATATCTTCCAGGTGACATGTTCAGTCAGCAGTTGCTGCAGGTCCTCAGTGCTCAGTGTGTGCAGGATATGCTCAGCAATGACCTCTACGAAGATGTCACTGTCTGCTGGAGGAAGAAAACAACAGGGTCAATGACAGAGCAGGAGAGTGTAAACGGTTTTGAGTACAGGTGGTTCATATTCATTATGGAGCTGCGGTCACATCAGACACTTTAGATGGAGAAACTAGTGTTAAGGACCAAAATGTGGCCCCCAAATGCATATGTTAAACCCTCAGCCCCAGTGGCCAAATGTGGAGATAGGGCTTTAAGGAGGTGTGGTAGCTGAGATCAAATGAGATTGTAAAGTTAGAGCCCTGCTCCGTAGGACTGGTGTCCTTATGAGAACAAATCTCTTTGCTCTTTCTCCTTGTCTTCCTCCTCCTCCTCCTTCTCTGCTTCTTTGGTTCTTTTTTTCTTCTTCTCCTCCTCCCTATTCTCCACCTCTTCCTGCTTCTTCCTCTTCCTCTTCATCTTCTCCTGGTTCTTCTTTTCTCTCCCTCTCCCCATGCTCAGAGAAAGGCCATGTGCACACACAGTGAGAAGACTCCCTCTGCAAACCAGGAAGAGGGCCCTGACTGGAAACAGCCCTGCCCCACCTTCAGCATGGATTCACTTCCAGAACCAGTAGAAAAGAGGCTTCTGTTGTTGAAGCTGCCAGCTTGTGGACCCTGTGGCGGTCCCAGGAGGGGACTAACACACCGGGGAAGCGCCTTCAGCACAGAGCTCGGAAAGTGAACCTCAGCCTGGGGAGTAGGAAACTTCCACGCATGGGGTCACCTACTCCGTGCCCACTGTGTGCCACACAGTGTGTGCCTGTATCTTCCAATGTAGGTTTCAACATCTCAGTGCATTCTGAATTTAATTGATTGTGTTTAGAGCAGCACTTTTAAAAGGAAATAGAATTATCCACGTTAGGTTGTGTTGAGCACAGTGAGATTGTGTGTTGCTTTTGCAAATTATTTATATGACACTACATATACAGTGCCACCTCGGTCCACAAAATTCATTATTTTCTGCAATTCTGGTATCAAACTGAGCTGGACAAGAGCTGTATCAAATCCAGTGGTGAGGTTCAATGTTGACTTGATGGCGAAAATTTGACTCCACTCTTGGGCAGTTCAGTTTGCAACCGGAACCAGGGAGAGAACTGAGCTTGTGAACTGACATAGCACTGTATGTGCTATACTACACATAGTATAGAGAGTAAATATATATATATTCAGAGAGAGAGCAAGGGAGAGAGAAGAGCCTCTTAATCCGTGGGACCTAGATATGTTTAGGGATCCAGAACATTTAATCTTTAAAAAATATTTTTTAAATATTTATTTTAATGAACACATAATAATAGTATTTATCAAGCACAGTGTGATAGTTTAAGGAAAGTTCTACATTATTTCCTCAAACATTTGTCATTTCCTTGAGTTGAGAACATTCTAAATTTTTTCCACTATGTACTTTGATAGAGACAATTAAAAAGAATTTTCAATCCTTTAGAAACAAAACACAGAGCACACGTGGTACTACTTGCTAATCATGATAATCAAATACATTAATGTGTTGACATGGAAACAAATGACTGCCTTAAATGCGATAAACAGTGTAAAGGCTGTAAGTGGTCTCAGGTCAGCAGAGGGCAGAGTTACTGCCTGAGTCACCCAGAAAATGTGTGTGTGCAGGACAGGAGGAAACGGAATTACAGGCGGGGACTGGGTACCAGTGTACGTTGCTGTGTGCTACTGAGACAGACAATAAAATGTTTGCACTGTGTCTGCACAAGAGAGACGTTATTCTTATTTGATAAACAAGTTGAGATCCAGGCAGGTAAAGTGCCTGCATAAAGCCAGGAAGAGGAAAGCTCATCATTTAAATCCAAGTTTAACTGGCCAATTTCTTATAACACTTAGATAAGTTGTGTGTGTAAGTTTTCCTGTGACTTATGCAATGTACTTTAGAATTTACCGGCTGGATTTTTAAAAATATATAAATGTTTGAAGCTATGCACTACTGGGTAAAACTGTGCCGCAAACAGGGTCCTTGTGCTCTGAGCCTGGCAGCGAGGACTTCTTCAGGTGGGCGGGGATGAGGTGGGGCTGGACTCTCCTCTCTGACCCTTGTGATCTCAGGACAAGGACTGAGAGGCTGCCTCTGTGAAAGCACTGACTCCTCCTGGGCCTGCACACGTCCAGCGGGAAACTACAGCAGAGTGGACACTTCCTCATCGCTTCGCACAAGCCCCGCCTGCCCAGTGCTGAGACAACGGCCACCAGACCCCCTGACACAGGCCGTGTGACTGTGCAC